CGTATCGTATTGTATCTATCGCATCGTATCTATCGCATCGTATCGTATCTCTCGTATCTATCGTATCTATGTATCTACCTATCTATTGGAAGGTTCTCTCTTAGGTCGTCGTAGTGTGCGGCGGTGTTTCCATTCTTCTCTCTACCGTTATTTTTGCCATTCCTTATTCATTCTTTTTTTTGGTATTTATTTTCGATATTGGCATTTCAGTATTTTTTTAGGAATACTGCCCTAACAGTTTTAACTTGCCTTCTCTGTATCCTCTAATCCTTTGCCTCTTTTGGGGTTACCTTTTTTTCTCCTGCTTTCTGTGACAACTTTTCGCCACTTATGATTCTCGACGGCTCGTGGGTCACAGAGCAAGACGACGGATTAGGACCAGGACAAGGACCTCCCTCTCCGGGCCTCTATAATGTTGGAACAGTTCGCCTCTTTTGCCGAACGAATCGAAAGGGCTCCAACATTGTCCCTAGCCGAAATGACTGATGGCATTGAAGAGGTTACTCGACGTCAGAGCGAAAACATATCTCGCCTTGATGCATTGGAGGAGCGTGTAACCAGCCTGCAGATTTCGAGTCCAGTGGATCATAGCCTTCTTTACTCTACCCTCGTTAAAGTGAAGCGAGGAAAAAACGATGGTAAACTTAGGCGCATAACCTGGGTTGGAATAGGAGAACAGGCTGACAAAGTTTCGACGAAAAAATTCGATCAGGAAGCTCTGCGAGGGGTTATTCTCTCCTCTGGTGATGATGAGCTTATCGAGGAATTCTCAAGAGGAAGAATGAAGTCTCATCGTCACCCATTTTTGAAGCCGAGGAATCAAGGTGGGCGCGACCGAATCACAAAAATTGAGCTTCCCTCACCTGCTATGAAGGACAGGCTGCTGCGTCACATGAAATCGGGATGACAGAGCCTAACAAGGCGTTTCGTCCATTCGTACGCCCGCAGAAATTACATGGTGGAGGAATTGGAATTGGATCGAAGCTTACGCAAACAGGCAGGTTTGGCCAACACGAAGGTTGGAAAGCTTCAATATGAGGTCAGAGACCTCCAAATACACCAGTTGAAGAATGCAAGTCAGCTGCCGCATCGGAGTCCCACCTCATTTTGGGGGTCAGCGAAAATTTCATCAGGGAGTTTGGTAGGATCCTTGGATGCATCCATCGTAGGCAATTCCAGGTCCTAACTCCCCATAGGACCAGGCCCCTCAATCTGAATCGTGATCGAGTTCATCAGCTAACACTTTTTTCCCAATGCCCATCTGCCCTCTTCGTGAAGGAGACATGGTGCAAATCTGATAAAATAAGCAACGGTACTCTATCAGCTGGCCGTCCCTATGTTGTGTACTGCTGCGATAGAGGTGAGGATAGTCCAGGAGGGGGGTGGTAGCTCTCATCAGAGAAAACACACCATCATCTCTCATATCGTCTCTTAATTTCTCTATCTACCTGCAGTGCGCTACAGTAAGAATCTCCTTCGATAATACTGAATGCATTGTTGTTCTCTGTTACCGTAGCCCCTCATGCGAAAACGATAGTTTTGAAGATTTCATTCTTCATCTCGAAGAGTTTTGTCAAAATCAGACTCCTCTCATTATCCTCGGCGATTTCAACTTTTTTTTGATATATCATGGTCTCAGTCGTCTTGGGGCCTGGGCAACGGGTGTCCTAATAGGCAGAATTCACTCTTTTATCGCTTCAATCAGGGCCACAATTTTAGCCAGACAGTCTCGTACCCTACCCGTGGCCGTAATACTTTGACTTAGTTCTTACAAACAATCCCTCCCTCATAACTAGCCTCTCGGTTCAGGCTCCTTTCTCCACCTCCGATCACTCTATGGCAACATTCTCATTAGCAGGTAGTACAATTGAAGCCACTCCCAAACCGAGAATAGATTTTGCTAGAGGCGACTATAGAACTATATGTCGTCACCTTTTTGCAGTAGATTGGCATCGTGTTTTTGACTCTATTGAGACCATGTATGAGTGCTACTCCGTTTTCGCTAATTTTGGCTAATTTTTTAGATTAATCCCAGTCTTACGGGTTACAAAACGAGCCTTCCGCCTTCCTCGCTACTTGCAAGTGGTGGAGGATCGAATTCGACAATTAGTCAGAGATGGGAATCATTTACACATTCCACGTTACCTTTATCTCTCACGCCTGTTTAAAAAGGAATCAGCGAAACTCAATCTCAATTATGAAGAATACATTGCTTCTTCCAAAAATTTTAAAGGTTCTGGAGTTACAGTAACGCCAGAAGGAATATTCTTCTATTAGGACTATCACAAACTCTTCTGGATCAGTGCGTTCTTTTGACCGAGAGAAAGCTGATGTTTTTGCTGAATATTTCCAAACCTTTTATACAAGAAGCTTGCTATTCCTACTCCGTGTGATGTGACTGTGACTAAACCTCAAAAGAAACACTAGACTGGGTGAATCTCCACTGTGAAAATGTTTTTCGTACTCTGAAGAGGCTTACTCTTCGGTGTTCCACGTCACCTGATGGTCTACCTTACATTTTTCTCAGTGAAGCTGCAGAAGGTATTGCACCCGCTCTCACGCATCTTTTCAACAGAATACTTCTGAAATGGACAGTACCCGCGATCTGGCGATTGGGCTTGGTGAGGCCAATACATAAGAGAGAGAGTAAAAGTGCTTTCAGGAATTATAGGCCTGTGTGTCTCACCACTTCAGTCAGTAAGATAATGGAAAGAGTGGTGTGTGAAAAGATAAGAGATTTTCTCATATCTAACCGGCTTCTATCTCGTTGTCAGCACGGATTCCTTTCGAGGAAATCCACCTCCTCTGCACTTCTTTCCGTTATTCCTTCATGGCTGCACGCCGTGGACAAAAAGAGATCCGTCTTCGCCGCATACATTGGTTTTTTCAAAGCATTTGATTCTATCCCTTTACATTTCTTCATGTTTGAGCTAAAGCAGATTGGAATAACGGGGTCTCTCCTGAAGTTTCTTCAATCGTTCCTTTTTGATGGGTGTCAAAGGCTCGTCGTCAATGTCTCATGTTCTTACGTGTACCGTACAGACAGCGATGTTCCCCAAGGCTCGTGCCTGGGTCCCTCGATGTTTGTTCTATACATTAACGACTTGCCTGATGCTTTCCCTCCGGGTATACACTGTTTGATGTATGCGGATGAGATGAAGGTTTACTGCATGGATCAGCCCCTATTGCTACAAGTTGCCCTTGATGCCATATCAAGTTGGGCTAAAACTGGGGACTCACCAATTCCCTGGACAAAACAGTTGTCCCGCGATTAGGACCTTCTCATGAGTCCACTGCGAAATTCTTTATTGATGGCGTTGAACTGAAGGAGCTGCCATACTCAGAGACCTGGGCATTGTCTATTCCTGCTCGTTGGGTTTCAATGATTATACAGGGTGCGCCATAAATATGGTAACAAAGTAATCGTGGTACAAAAACCGCATTTTGAATCGATACAAGATGAACTCATGTGAAATAGTTACTAAACAATACATCAACAAAACAAACACAAGATCATTCAATATGTCCTCCTCCTTTACGAATTATGGCTCGAAGACGCTTCCGGTACGCATCTATGGCGGCACGCAGAGCTTCTTAAAGAATTCTATCCCAGGCTTTCTTCAATGATTCTTTGAGCGCAGCAATCGTGGCATGTTTTGAAGCGCAAGCCTCCCTCTCTAGAATATCCTATACGCAATAGTCCATCGGGTTACAGTCGGGGGAATTTGCTGGCCAATCGGAAGCAGCAATGAAGTCCGGTACATTTTCTGGGCACCAGTCTTGCGTTCTCCTTCCTTTATGAGCTGGTGCGCCGTCTTGTTGAAGAGTCCAAACCGTAGCCTTGAATTGACCTTTGGCCTGTGGTAGTACCTTCTCGAGAATGTCATTTATGTAGATATCCTGGTTGATTTTAGCTCCTTTTTCAACAAAAATAAGCGGTGTACGTCCGGTAGCGCATATCCCAGCCCAAACCATCAAGGAAGAAGCAAAATGGCTACGAAAAACGACTCGACCTTTTTTATTGGCTTCGTGGCTCGAAGTGGCAAGTATCCGTGTGTCCTGGGGGTTGAATTTTTCTTCCACGCTGAAAAGCTTCTCGTCAGTGAAAAGTGTGACGAGGTGAGTGTCACGCTTAAGGAGAGCACGACACTTCGTCTCCCTTTCATACTTCGTCTTGTCAGGAATGCTATGAATCTTTCGGAGCCTATAAGGACAAAGATTTAGTTGCTCTCGGATGACTCTTCTCATCGAAGTAGACGACACACCCAATTCGGCAGCCATTTTTCTCATGCTTCTGCATGGTTCACGGCGCAGTCTTTCCTTGATCACTTTCCTTAAGCGAGGGGTCGTAACTGAGACGGGCCGACCGGATCGAGGCTTATCATTGACCAACCCGCGCTTCACAATTCGATGGACGGTCGTGCGAGGAATATTGAAGCGACCAGCGATCTTGGAAATCGGTTCACCAGAATAGCGCAGAGACAGGATGGCAGCTCGATGAGGACAAGGTTTCACCATTTTCCGAGAACTGATGATGTAGCCACAGGAAAGCAGATATGTTAGCTAAGGTATATTGCGAGTGTAATGGAATGAACATGTTTTGAAAA